GCACTGGTACAAAGAATTTTCCGGTAGAAATATTTTTTTGCGATTTTGGTTAATAAGTAGGTACCCACAAAGTTTCCATTTTACATACATGGCACCCCTAAAAGGTTTTGCCTCCGACAGCGAGTTGATAGGTGAGTAAACAGCGAGGTAAACACATAACTTATACACTTGGTTGGTTGAGATGCAGAATGAACAGGTCGGGTTAGGTGGCCCCAACACTGCAGCCGTCGGCTTATTGTATTGTCGTGTTCGTCTGGTTAGTCAGTGGAAAGTTTCGTGACCTTGATTAGGTTTAGGAGCCTCTTCACCGTGTTACTTTTGTTTGGTGAGTTTAGACATAGGGTCTTCTGGCCCTATCTGTCTGTATCTCCACCAACGTAATGCCTCAAAGTATATGTAGGTGGCGGTTTCATCCTCCTCGTCACAAAGTCTGCATATGGGTTCTTCTTTGGAGGATGCCCATTATGTGAAGGTGTTTTCTCAGGCTACAATATCTAGTTATAAGTCCAGTTATTAGCCTGATTTGATTCCTGTTTAGTTTGTAGGATTTCTTCAGTAAGTTTAGGTGATGGTTGTTGTACCATTAGCTTACTGTGTCTGAGCTTCGGAAGAGTTTGTCAGTAGGTTTTGTGTTGTCTATACACCCATTGGTTTATTTTTGTTCTTACCGATGATTTCGTGGTGCCATTTGAGTTCAGGACAGTATAACTGGTTGCCGATCCTTCTCTTGCTAGGGCATCTGCTTTTTCATTTCCTTCAATTCCTTTATGCCCTGGCACCCATTTAAGGGTTACCTTGTTGGCCATACTTAGGTTTTTGAGGTTTTCCAAGCATTCCCAGACAAGTTTGGATTTTATTTCAAAACTGTTGAGTGCTTTGATCGACCGCTTGACCGCCTGAGCAGATAAGGATGTTTTCACCTGTGTATCCCCTCCTCAGGTTTTCTCTCAGACAGGAGTCGATGGCATGTATTTCTACTTGGAATAGAGTAGTGTATTTTCCCAGAGGTTGACATACTTGCCGTTGGTGTACTTCTCTGTGCACCGGTAATACAAAGACACGCAAGTCTCTGGATTTTGGCTAGCTCCAGGTTTGCTTGTCTTTGGTTTACTTTAGGCCACCATACAAGTGCACCATATGTTATCATTGGTCTTACAATTGTAGTGTATATCCATTGTACAATCGCTCTTTTTAGTGACATCAACGTCATCTTGCTTTTGGTGGTTATCTTTTGGATGTGTTGGTTCCATGTCAGCTTCATATCTAGGATGATCCGTAGAAATTTAGCTTCCCTGCCAAACTCCAAGCTTTTTTGGAATAGACTGATTGGGACGATTAGGTTCTCCAGATTTCTTTTTCTCGTGAAAGGAATGAGTTTTGTTTTGGAGGGGTTGACGCGAAAATGCTCCCTCGTGCACCATTCTCCAATGACTTCTAAGGCGTCATTTTTGCAAATATATCTTGGTAAATCCTCCCCTAATGACAACGACTATGTCATCCGCGTAGCTTAGGGTGATGTGATGTGATGTAGCCTTGATCGTTTAGTTTCCTCAGAAGTTCATCCACGACTAGATTCCACAAGAGTGGTGAAATTAGTCCGCCCTGTGGGCATCCTTTTGTCGCGGTTACTTTAATAGAGGTTCCAGCAATAGTCGAGTTTATAATCCTGTGTTTTAGCATGGACTTGATAAATCTGCATGTGGTATATTAATCGCATGTTGCCCAGTAGCTCTGCCCGTACAATCACTTACAAAAAGTTATTTTTTGAAGCCTTAAAATAAACGTTTTTGGGCGTGACACCCGAAAAGCGCCTGCCTGCGGCGAGCCGTCATCATTATGAAAACCCCCCCCCCCCCCCAAATAAAAAACCTGGGTGCGCCACTGCCATTTGTATGCGCAGCCAAAAAACAGTTGCCTAGCATCCCTAGGGAATAAATAAAAAAATAAGGAATAGGGTGACAAAGTAGCCCCGTGCTTGGGGCTACTTTGTCAACCTGTTAAAAATGCTTTTGAAACACATATAAATGGCTGGACTGACAAATTAACCCCAGATATGGACTCCTCGGATAAAAATTATATATAAATATATATATTTTTTAATTTGTACGTAAGATTTTATCCTTTTTTTTTCAAAAAATTGATTTAATCGTAGAAAATACTTCATCAGAGAGAAAAATAAGAATAACAAACTCGGAAAACCTCATAAATGTTCTGTAACAATAACAAGAAAACTTGAATGATATTATTTTTTGGCACATTGCCTCAGTATAAATGGAAAGCCCCAATCTGCAATGACGCCAAGGGTTCTTGCAATGATGGCTTCTTCCTCCGAACTCAGGATGGTTGTATGACCTCTAGGTTTCGTATGCCTACCAAGGCATCTATAAGTAAGAGTTCTCCGTGGAATTTGATAAACCCTGGACGCCTGTTTTTTGCTCATACCATCTTGCACCGAGCGCACGGCGCGTACCGCTTCGGCCACCTGTTCTTCAGTTAAGTTATGGTAGGTACGGCTACCTGGTGTTTTTTTGTAGGTTTGCATTTTTTTTTAGTCAATTAGAACTTAAAAAAGAAACTAGGCTTATCAAAACTAGTAATAAAAACTTTTGAAAAGAAAAAAAATTAGAAACTCTCAGCGCGCACAAGGTGACAAAGTTACCCTGGGTGACAAAGTAGTCCCGTTTTACGGTAACTCAAATACTAGAAAAATGGTTATGTAAAAACGTCATAACCAAACGCTTGTAGATAAAATATTATTCCATAATCAATAACAAATTAGAGTAAAACGGGATACCCCATTTTACCCACAATAATAAGTACATACTGCCCACAAAGGTTACGCGAAACGCTTGGTATTCCACTATCGCTAGCTTGAAGGTCTTAGGGTATCGGACTCGAAATTTATAATTTGGGTAAATAAAAATGAATAACATGCATTGTACTAGCGGATGTTGTTCTAATCGATCTCCAATTTTTTGTCGTACCGACGGCGACGTACACAACCCTGGCGCTAGGTTATGATGTTGCCACATCAAGTTAAGCTGGGTATGGCACTATGTCATTTTACCCGCGTATCTCATTTTAGGCAACCTTCCCCTACTGAGTATCTACTTTACCAAAAGGGTTGATAAAATTAGTTTCAATAATTTTGGCTTATTCTGAATTTAAGATTTCATATTCTTTCATTAAAATTTAGTGTTTCAAGCTTAACATTCAGGTTTATATAGCATTTGGATAAATTTCTATTGTGGATAAAAAAGTACAAGAATAGAGTGCCACAAATGCAACAAAAGGAGGAAATTTAATTTTTAAGCATTTTCTTGATAAAATTTTTACTAGATGAAAAATTAACGCAAACTAGTTTTTTTTTCTTTCTTCATTGTCGGTAAACATTAATTTCTATAGGTAATAAAATAATAATTTGAAACTATGTTACTCAAAAGCGGATGAGGATACCGGATCGCGATTGGCAACAAATTGTACCTGGCTTTTATGATTTTTAATCGCAGAAATAAAGAACTGTCATGCTATTTAGTTTTCTTAAGCAAATGCTGGTTGAACAGCGCCCTCTAGAAGACATGGTACGAACAAGCGATTTCAGCCAAAGAAGTTTTATGGAACTCTCTTTCAAACTAGCCCAAATTGATCACGTCCCTATAAAGGCGTCCCTATTCCACCAATTTATCGAACATACAAAAATATTCAACTAAACGGATTCAGAAACTACCGAACTTCTAAATTTCGTTTTTAAACAGTATCATAATACAGCGATGTTTAAGAAAATTTATATTTTCAGTAATATTACAGTATTGCAACTCTCTTATCTTAGAAAGTTAAAAATATTTAACATCAATTTTTCATAGCCGATTAAATTAGGTACCTACTAATTTGTCTTCCGAAACCGAAAAGTTAATGGTTCCCATAATATCATACCTCGCAACCTTAATGAAACAACCTGTACTTTTTTTTCCGAAATCCTGAACAGGCGATTTATTTCAACTTGCTTGTAAGGCAATATCACAGGGCGCCACACACAAAAAATAATTAAGTTACCTAATGTCTTTATAAATAAAAATATTAAGGAAGTGGAACAGACATTGGCTTTCATTTATTATCAATTATTTATTCCACCAAATGGACTAACTACTTTTCAAAAGTTTTAAAAAGTTATTGCTTACCTGGAAGGTTTATCTTTGATGCTGAATTTATTATCCAAAACATCTAATGCTTTATATTGAGACTATTCCGAAACGTTTTTTTTTGTTCTTAATTTTTTTTAGTTTTGTGTTATAACTGTGATAAGGTTAACGTAGGCAACAAACCCAAAACAAAATGCATGCTTTAAAAACATGTTACATACATGATGTGCCGGCATTCTATGTAGGTATCAGTTGTCACAAAAACTAACCTCCATTTGTTAAATCGATAAAAACACACCTTAATGATGTTATTCGTATCTTGTTGAAGGTTAGGTTAATATACATCGATAAACGATATTTTCTGATGAGATGATATAGTTTTTGTGGTGTAAACAGAAATGGCCGTTGAAGGTATCTATATAAAGATCCACAAAAAATAAAACATCATTTTGTTGGTTATGGTGCAAGATTCTTATTCGAATTGCAAACAAATGTGTTTTGATCTGTAATCCAAAGGAAACCTTCGCAATGCTTTTAATTTAATAAACATGTGAAAAGGCGATTACTATCGAATGCTCTTGGATTTCTAAGTGTTGTTTATGCTAATAAACTAATATATTTGTCTGAGTTGCTCTGACAATGCAGGCAGGGTGTATCTAGGGAGAAGTGCGTGGGCGATGTTAGAGATACCCAAATCTCCAAAGTGATTTAGGGTTAGAGCCCTATATTTTTGTACTGTGCAAATTGCAAAAAATACAAGCAGCGGTGCAGATTTCATGCTTTGTTGTTTGGTATTAAGGGGTGGGCGGGTGCATATTTTTGGTTTCACATTTTTGAGTGCAGGTTAGTTTTTAGGTGTACCTCTCTTGCCATCACGGCATCGTCGTCGGGCGGCCCGTGTCCGGCCGCCGCGGCCTCGTCCTGCTGCACTCCCGTCCCGCACTCACTGGACCACCGTAGGGTGGGGGCCCCCGAGACGCCGCGGGCCCTCGACACAACAGTTGCTTTTCCGTCTCGACTCGTCCATTCCGTCCGGGCACAATGGCTGGCGCTGGCTGCCGCTCGGCCTCAACGTCTTGACCCGCCGTGCGGATTGCTCGGCTCCTCGCGTGCGCCCCCTTGCGGCCGATCGATCGTCGAGCTCAAGGCGCTGCCAATGCTAGATTCCATCGCTGCCGCCCCCAAACGGGCAGAGAATTCTTGTGCGCAAGCACCAATTGGACAATGTTGCGACCTTTTGCAAAAAAAACACCCGACTTCTAACAACTCGTCTTTGATTTTCTTTATTTTCTTAGAAATAAAACAAATACTTTCAAAGTGTTGGAAGCGGTATGGGGTTTTGATAGACATATTCCGGAAAGGGTAAACTAGTCGCCGGTGCCGGTGAATAAATTATCATACTGATGAGATTGAAAATTATAGTACTAATTTTTCAGTATTTATTAAAGTATGACGCACATTTTATATTATTTTTTTTTGTGTTTTGTAAAACGCATTATTTGCGCAAAATTTTTTTTCTTACTTAACCACATGCTTATTTTAAAATAGCAAAAAGCCTTGAAGGCCATGATTTAGTTGCATCACTGATTTAGGTAATGGTAATCACACCTAGTTGAGAAAGGTTAACTTAGAAGTAAGGATCGAGCAATTTTTGCCGCTTGTAGTTGCGTTCGAAATAGCATGTTTTTTTTTTAATATCAATCATAATCGTTCAGAAATATAGGCTTATAATTTGCGGAGTTCAAATATCCCTGTCTCTGCTAACCAAGTAAAACGGTTAGAAGAGTATCCCTGACTGCATACCGCATACGTCATAATTGTAATGCATGTAGTACACACAATGATGTATCGTAAGAATTGCATGCGCAAGTGAATCATGCAGATGAGTCGTTTACATCAAACGCTGTTGTACGACCAATTTTTGTCCAGCCAAACTTGTGTGTGTGTACGCGAACGACTTTGGTTGTTGATTTTGTATCAAAATATTAAAATAATGGGATATAATCATATATTTTGGACCGAGTTAATTGAAATGTATCGTGAACAAGTTTGCTTATGGGATGTCAAATCAAATGACTATTTAAATAAACATTAAGCACGATTTCGTTCTGTTAAAAAGGTTAAAACCATCAAATGTACAATCGTTCCCTTAATGTGAGAAGCCTTGTAACTAGAAAAGGTGGCAGAGAATGACTGATTACACTGGGAGCACCTACTTCTTCTTTGTTGTTGAATACTTGATAGGGTGTGTAGTAACACTCTGTAGTAAGCAGTTGACTGCTAGGTGTGATTGAGTACAAACGACTGATGATTTAATACTAATTTATTTTAGGAACGGTAACACTATTTATACACAAATAAATGCAATATTTACAGAGGTAATTAACTAATAAATTAACTAAAGTGCTGACTTATATGTTTTACTGACCCACTGTTGTAATGTCGATGACTTTAAAAATACTTGGCTAACTTGGTAAATAGAAAATAATTGATATATTTATTACAAGATAATAAGATTTAAATTTGGAAGAAAACATGGATAATTTGTGATTAGACATTCTGGCCACTCGGCTTCTGGGACCTTGGCTTCTCATTGCGTGGAGTTGGACTTGGTGTTACTCTGAGGTTAACGTTTGGTCAGCCAAGGCTTGTCCTGATGTGTGGTTATTGTGCCTACTAGATTTCTTTCTTTGCAAATACAACCATATTAGAAGCATTGCGGTCACTCCCAGTATTAGTAGTACTATGGAGCTACTAATAATTAGATGATGGTGTACTTGAGTCCATTTGACGTCTTGTACTTGTTGATCTATGTCTTGTTCTTCACTCTGAAGCTGAGACAGTTGATCGGAGGCATCAATAACTTGTTCGTCGTAGGGAATCATGGTGATTTCCTTGGTAGGTAGAAATGTTTCCAAACTTAGTCCTACTGGGTGGACGAAAGCTCCTAAAACAGTTACAGATTCCGATCTTCTCAGTGTCAAAATATTTTCCTTTGTTTTAATGACGCAATTTGACGAAATTTCGATAATTGCGGTCTGGTTTATGGTGGCCTCTTCTCTGATACCATCGCAGATAATCGCGATTTTTAGTTTTTTGGTAATTATTGCCATCCATGCGTTTGGAGTAAAAAGTTTAGCATGATGTATTTTCAGTTCTTTGGTGAACTTCGTCTGTTTACGCAATAGTATTTGAAATTTAGTAAACTGGACTGTGTCTAGAAAATCGCGCAAACAAATAGAAATAGAAATGAAATTGATACCATAGGGTTGTCGAAACACACAAAAATTATTACCACTCACCTGGGTTTTCATATAAGCTGTGCGTATATGCGGGTATCCCCTGGAAAACGGTTCTCCACAACCACCAACGTATCACCATCGACTTAAGGCACTCAAAGTCCCTTTTTAACGGCACAAGATATAAACTTCTTGAGCGTAAAACACGGAACCGGTAAAAATGCAACGTGCATATCAAGTACCATTGATCTAGTGTGTAAATCCAAATCTTCAACAGCTATCTCGGTCGGCGCAGGATCGTAGAAAATACACTCCTGTGTGTTTTACGCGAAATTGACATTTAAGTAATTCTTTAATAAGAATGAGAAGAAACCAAATTTATAAATAATGTTGCGTTAACATTTGCCGCCGGCCAAAACACCTGTGTTTTAACTAACATAACGTAAAAAATAGAAAAAGAAAGAGAAGAGAACAAAAAACTAAAAATAAAATAAAAAATAATGAAAATTGAACATACTATATCAAAATACTGATAATAGTATCTGTTACCAAATATAACTTTCGTAAACATACCCAAAAAGAAAAGAGAAAAAAAAATATTTATATACATTTCTAAATTTAATTTTTGTAAATAGTGATTAAATTTATTTATTCACTCGAAGGGAGAGGGCACAGTTTGATAACTGGCCTTTTATATTGCCCAATCGCCGTTTTAATAGTAGCAACACGTACTTGGTTGTCGTCTCCAGGGGCCTTATTCTGTAAGGAACGAACCGTTCGATTCGGTAGAATTTCTTCGATTGTGACGTCATTTTCGATTTTTTTTTTTTTCGAAGGGTTCGTTCTTACAGAATAAGGCCCCAGGGTGCAGCTCAACAATTCTACCCAACGGCCATTTCAGCGGTGGAACATTATCTTTACTAATGAGAACTAAATCGTTTAATTTAACTTTAGAACCCGATTCACACCACTTTTGCCGTTGCTGTAAAGTATTGACATACTCTTTGAAATAACGTTTGCAAAAGTCGTTATGTAAACGACTAATGAGTTGCCATCGTGACAACCTATTAATATTAATTTTGGAAATATCAACATCTGGTACTACCGAGTTCAGGGGTTCCAGAGTCAAGAAATGTCCCGGAGTAAGGGGAATGAGATCGTTCGGATCAGTACTTTGGGCGCACAACGGGCGAGAATTAAGTAAGCTCTCTATTTGGCACAATAGGGTTGAAAATTCTTCGTAAGTTAGGCGTTGATCGCCTACGACACGTAATAAGTGAGTTTTCACCATTTTTACCTCTGCCTCAGCTAACCCATTAAAATGCGGTCCTGAAAGAGGGCTGAAATGCCATCGCACAGTAAGTTTTTCGCATGCTTGCTGCGCATACTCGGAAAGTAGGTTATTAGCTCCAACGAAATTAGTTCCGTTGTCGGTATAGCACGCAACTACATTACCTCTTCTCGCTACAACGCGTCGAAAAGCTGCTACAAAACTGTCTGTAGATAGCTCCTGAGTAAGTTCAAAATGAATAGCTTTAGTAGCTGTACAGACGAACACACAGACATACGATTTAAAAACCTTTGCGCCACGCATTTTATAAAGTGTGATAAAGAAAGGTCCGCAAAAATCTATTGCAACGTAGGAAAATGGTTTTAGATGTGAAATTCTGTGTGAAAGCAGATCACCCATTAATAGTGGGGAATAAAACTTAGGGCGTACCCTAAAGCAACGAAAGCAGTCAGAAAGGGTTTTTTGAATAGCCTTTCTTGCAGATAAAATCCAGTACTGTTGTAACAGTAAATAAATGATTTAATGTTTTGAGACCAGGATGGCAATAAGCATTATGTGTAAATTGAATAATTAGGGTTGTTAGCCTATGCGAGCTAGGCAACAATAAGGGGTGTTTTGCTGAGAAGGATAGGTCCGAATTTCTGAGTCGTCCACCTACTCTTAGAAAGCCATTTTGGTCTAGAAAAACCGCGAGATTTCTGAAAGGTTTGGGTAACATTGAGTTGTTCATAATTTTAGAAATAATATCGGGGAAACTACTTTGTTGAACAAATAGTATGAGGCACATTAGAGATTTATGTAACTCGTCAATAGTAGGAGGGCCGGAAATTAGGTGTGTAGGATTTTTGCTATTGTGTACGAAGCGAAAGCAGAATGAAAGGATTCTTTGAACTTTAACTAAAGAACTATATTTGTTCAGTATAGTCTCTAAAAAATGAGGCTCTGTAATTTCTGTGGTCAGGATGACTTTTCTCTCGCCCTGAATGACGTCCGTGTCATCGACAGCTGGCGTCAATAGGTCATTTTCATACCACTGACTTCTCGGTAAAGAAAGAAACGGTGGGCCATTCCACCACATTCCATGATTGAGTAAGGCAGAAGGAGACATCCCCCTAGAAGCACAATCTGCCGCATTAAGGGTGGAAGGTATGTAATTCCAGGAACGATAAGGAACCTTTTCTTGAATGTAGTTGACCCTGTTCGCTACAAAGGTTTCCCAACGACAAGCAGGGGAAGCGAGCCATGCTAATACAACCTGTGAATCACACCAGACAAAAATCTCATCAAACGTAATCTGCTCCGCGTAAGTATCCTTCACCACCTGTATCAGATCAGAAAGAAGTTTAGCACCAACAAGTTCAAGTCGCGGATAGGTTAAAGTTTTTAACGGTGCTACCCGACTTTTGGCACATATGAGAAAAACGGAAATTTTTTCCAAGGACTCTAGTCGGATATAAACTACGGCTCCATAGCCTACATTGGACCCATCGCACAAACCGTGCATTTCGCACCTTCGAAAATTATCTGAAAGGATTCTACGAGGAAGCGTAAGTTTTGAAAGTTCTGGTATTTCAGCAACAGTTT